AGTTAGCTTGTGACAGCTAGGCTATTTTAAAAAACAGATGCCTTCGGAATGGCATAGAAATGCGAGCATTAAAGAAAGTTACTCAAGATTCTTGACTTTATTACATTAAATGATACCTCAACTAAAATAACTAAAAATGGAGTGGGTTGCTTTCAAGAGTAGTATTTTTGGAAGTTAAAAATATCACATTGTATTAGACAATTTATACCTTTGGATTAATATTGGAGAATCTGTTACTGTTAAGATTTTATTCAATATGGGGCTGGTTCCTGCTTCTGTTGAAGTCAACGGAAGTTCTACCTTTGATTTAATTAATTTGGAGCAGGATTTGGCCAAGAAAGATTTATTGCTTTATTCTCTGTTTTACCATGAGTAAAGAAAAAAAATGAAGTCTGATCCTATGAGATGCTGAGAACTTCCCACGTGGCTCTGAGGCCCAGATCCCTAAAGGCATCTAAATCTCATGGGGAGGCATCCTTTGTAACCTTTGAGGATCTGGACCTGAGTGCCTTCAATTCACATTGAATGGATAACATGCTCTGTATTTCACAAGGTGTTGTTTATAATAAGAACAGTTATGTAAGAGAGAAAACTGCCAGCTTGGTGGAATATAAAATGTTCTAAACAAGGGGCCATGTTCTCATCTCAGTTACACCAATGTGAATCAGAAATTACAATGCTACTAATGAGATCCGAATCTGGCTCACTATCTATGCAGGCGCTTGACAGCCATCCTCACTTTTTGTATCACACTACGGTGGTCTTAAGTGAGTGACAGATTGTTAACATTGCTGCTGTAAGAGAGGAGATTTTAAAGGAAATCTATGGTGCTGCCATGACAATTCCCAATGACAGGTCTATGTTTTGTGTGTGTGTGTCGTAGAGATCGGTGCACACCAAATTCACATGAAAAAAATATTAAATACTTGTTCTTGTTATAGAAATATACGCAGTCTGAATGAGGGGAAATTGTCTTTTTACTTCTACTTTTTATTCTCCTGGCTGAAGAAGCAAAACATGATGAGTTGTAGTACATTGTATCAGACTTTCATTCATATACTGCCTGCATGTAGAACTTGAGAATGCACTTGTTTTAAATTCTGTAGCCTTTTCAATTATTTTTTTCCTTTTTCATTTTCAGTAGTCTTCTATTATATACATACAGCTGTTCAGGCACCCCCTAATGTCTAATTTAACCCCTGAAAACGCATGCAAACCGCAAGCCGTCAAAGATGCTGCAGAGTACATACATTGGCATGGACACCTTTTGCCCACATTACTCCCTCCCACAGAAAAGCCTGTGGGAAGGGTCTGAGAAGAAGGAAGCCTGAATTAGGATCCCTTTGCAAAGATCCTCATACATTATGTCTTTGGTGGTGGGGTTCCCCCATTCCCTACAGGAAAGGTCTCAGGGGCTGTCCAAAACCTGGCGGACTCCCAGGAATCTGTGTAGAATTCAAGGGATTCACAGGAGGGCAAGTCCTGTGCCTTCCCATGAGTACTGGCCCTCCACACACACCACCCTTCCATTGGAGCTGTACCTGTCATCTCTCATTCACTATAGAGAGGTTGACTCCTGTCTCCGAATAGCCTAAGATGCCAGACTCCATCGCTCTCCTGTTAAATTTTCAAACCTTCATACACTCACCCATGCTGCTCCTCACTCTTGGGAAGAGTTTCCCATAAACATCTCAAAACTAGCTCATTATTCTCCTTCAAGACCCTTCCTAAAACTCTTCTTTGCCATGACATCTACAAAAAACTCGACAATGGTTAGGCTACTCCCGGTATGCTGAGATCACTGCCTGTCATGCTGACCAACACTGGCTCATTGTTTCCTTATGCTCCCCTGTCAGTCTGTTTGTACCCATCCATTGTGTCTTGTCTCATACTTAGATTTATAAACTCTTTGGAGCAAGGACCATCTTTTTTATTCTGTGGTCATACAGCTCCTAGCACAAAGGCTCCTGGTAATGACTAGGACGCTAGATGCTATGGTAATAAACAAACAACTAACTACTACTATTACTACTACCCTCAGGGTTCTCCTTGATAGCAGCTGTCTCAGAAACCTTTGAAAAGACCTAAACAGAAAAGATAATGTAGTCTTGGACTGAATTTTCCTGAAATGAATTAATAGATCAAATTTGTTAACCTCATAGCTACTAAATGCCTTTTCTAATTTACTTCAAAAGTCTATCCTTCGATGTGATCTAATATATGAAATATCTGGTGCGCTTGTTGGTTAAGGTGAAGTTAGGTGGTGCTAGGGTTTGAAAAAAAATGGACTTAATGGAACTAGAAACACTCTATAGTTAAATCACCGTTGATTGTGTTATGAAATCTCATTACCACCCTAGTGAAATTTTCTGAGTTTGTCATTATAATAGTTGAACACATTGGTAAATTAATCAGAGAGAGAAATAAACACAGTAAGTCTGTTGTCCCTATAGCTGTAACAAGCCAGCTGGAAGGGTCTTCACGGCCAGCTGCAGACGTTTTACACAGCACCATCCCCTGTGGGGATGTCTGTCAGCAGCCAGTCCCACAAATTTGTCCTTGTAGCATGTAGCCCCTTGGAGGTATGGGTGGGTGGGAAGGTTTGGCACAGGCATGGTTGAGAAGGCAATGGCAGTGTGGCTCCTGGAAGACATATGCCCTTGGAGATGAGGAAGTTCCAAGAGTAGCAGAGAGAGCCTGATCTTCCACACGAATGGCCCAAGAATCACTGGATTTTCCCATGGATCTCAGCACACCCGCATGATTGGAAGGCTGTATGTTCCTTACTTGCTTTGTCTGTTTGAAACCCTACATGGCTTATGGGACGATGAGCTGCATACTCAAAAAGTTTTAGAGTTTCTTGTACAACATTGTCCCTCCTGCAGGTTTTTCCCACTAGAGAGACTGTTATAGCCTTTAATCTGAAAAAGAACAGTTCAGCCATGTTGTAGCAGATGTAGTTTATATAATTGCTTGTACGCCAGACCCCCATTTTAAGCTACTACCATCCAGCTGCAATATAGTCTGCTGTGATAACAAAGGTGCCATTCAGAGTTTAGTTGAGACAATCATTTTGAAGAATACCAATACTGGGGTTAGTGAAATAAATCCAGAAGGTAGGGAAACAGTTAACAAGCCATTGACTTAAAAACACACACAAAAATCTGTATGGACTCTGCAAGTCTGTGGAGTTGCTGGGAAATTTTAATGTAATCTCAATCCTTATTTACTGCAATCACTGTGGATAAACAGCTACTGTTATATTTGGCAGAACCTCTGAATAGCTCACTCAATCATCCCTGGAGAATGATGGAAACACAGCACAATCAGGCTTCCTAATCTCAGGCACTGCAGTGTTTTACCCTGAGCCTTGGGTATATTATGGAAGTTCCCTGGTCAGCCACAGTTGAAACTGAATTGGTGATGAACATGGTTTAACTGTAGGTGTAGACAAAAACAAAGCTTGATCAGCAAGGATTCAGAAACCGGAGAGTGTGCTCCTCCAATTTGTGTATTTCAGCTGAAAGTTTTTCTAATTTTCATTGAGGGCATCTATGCCGTGCATCACTTCAGACTTCTCCTCAATAATGCTGACAGGGTTTTGATTTTAAATGCAATCTGCACATAATAAACTAGAAGAAGCCAATAGTCGTGTAATGTATAGGAATAGGGTAGTGTTCCTTGAAATATAAAATATAAAACATGGTGAGCGCCACCAAAGGGCTCACCAGCTTATAGTCTGTGAGCCCTTTGGTGGTGCTCACCATGTTTTATATTTTTAGAAGTTTCCAGAAACCAGCCAGAGCTGCAGGTTGTATATAGCTAGGCCTTTCACGATCTATTAAGTGTTTGTACACACAGTTATTTGGAACCCAACTGGGCTTTCTTCATATCACTATTGTTGTGTAAAGAGCAAAAGACACAACAAGTGCATTAGTAAGAACAATAGCAACAAGGAGATCTCAGCCAAAAGACACCCAGTGGAACAGGTTGCAAAAGAGAAAAAGACCCAGATTATAAAGTCAGAAGGCACCACTGGGTCATTTAGTCTGAACTCCTGTTTAACACATGCCATAGGACATCACTGAATTAATTCCTGTTCGAACTAGAGAATATCTTTTAGAAAAATATCCAACTTGATTTAAAAATTGCCCGGGATGGAGAATCCACAACCTGCCCTTTTCGGCTTGTACTGTAGGCTCACAAGAGGTGGGCACAGATATGCAGAAATGAACACGTGGGAGACCAAAAGGGAAGTGACATAAATGAGAAGCCGGGGAATCTGATCCAGAGAAACAAACACTAATTAGATCAGGTGCCCTGGCTTCTAGTTTATGTTGCTTATCTTTTTGTCTCCCTCTCTCACACATTTCATATAACCAGTGAGTATGATTGCTCTCTCCTATTTCCCCTTCTACACCCCCTTAGGAATCTTTGAAATGTGCTGCATATCAGAGATTGGAATCTGGCCCTTACTCTTAATGGATATGTTTAAATCTTACTTTTTCCTTCAAAGCCTGTCCATAAAGAAGTGTCAGGTCATTATTTCATGCTGTAGCTTAATGCCAAGGCTTAACAGCATAGGATCTCTCTCCTCCATTCATTGAAGAAGCCCTTCGTTCACTGAAGGTCAAGGTATTAGAGTGTTATTTTTAAATATACTCCCAGCATTTAAGAGTTAAAAATAGGCTACTGAGATAAACGTCACTGAAGCATACAGTAATTAGCTAAACCTTGTTAGACATCACATGAAGAGTATAACTCCTCCCAGGGAAAAGCATAGTAAAAGCATCTTTCACCTGGATTTATACTTAGAAGAGCACAGTGTGAAGGAGTTTGTATTTCAGGCTCCTTGCTTATTAGAAAAAAAATCGGCTCGATTCACCTACCGGGAAACAACTCAACAGCCGAGGGACTCATTTTCCTTATCAAGATGCTCAAATGAATCCTGTGGATTTTTTACCTTGGAACAATCACCTCTAGGGAGGAAGTTTAAAAGGATGGAGTTGGGAAAGGCAAAACTTCTAAGAACTGGCCTTAATGCCTTGTATCAGGCCATACATCCTGTGCATGGAATTGCCTGGACAGATGGGAAGCAAGTGGTACTGACTGCTTTACATTTTCATCATGGAGAACTCAAGTTTGGTGACTCGAGTGTAATTGGTCAGTTTGAACATGTTCATGGACTTTACTGGGGCTCATGTTGTGCTGCAGACACACCAGCTCTGCTTGCTGTTCAGCATAAAAAACATGTCACTGTTTGGCAGCTGAGCTATAACATTTTGGAAAAGAAAAAGCTCCTGGTTTCTCAGACTTGTGAAATGGGTGAGCCATTCCCAATGCTTCCCCAGGGCTGTGTGTGGCATCCCAAGAAGGATATTTTGGCTGTGCTTACTAAACGGGACGCCTCAGTTTTACACGCTGTTCGTTCTGATAATTCCAGGGTTAAGGCGGATATCAAAAGCAGTGGTCTCATCCACTGCGCTTGCTGGACTAAAGATGGTAATCGCTTAGTGGTTGCTATAGGCAGTGCCCTTCATTCCTACATATGGGATGATGCTCAGAAAGCTTTAAATGCTTGCTTCTTTTGCCCAATATTTGATGTGGGTGGTTATATCTGTGCTATAGAAGCTACTTTAGATTTCCAAATTGCTGTAGCCACAGAGCTTCCGTTAGATAAGATCTGCGGCTTAAATGCAGGCATTACTTTTGATGTGCCATCTGGTACTGAAACCGGTTCTTTAACTTCACAGTCTACTCTGGCACTTGGGGATGAGGAATACTCCATGGACCTAAGAAGAAAATCAATAGATTCAGAAAAATCAGTGGCTGTTGATTCAGTAGCTTCTTCTTCATCAGGTCCTGTGGATTTGACCCATATCCTTGCAAACCATCGGAGATCTGATCCCAGTCCTCTCATTCCTCTGAGACGCAAGGACTATGTCCCTGGAAACAATCAAGACTCTTCATACCTGATCTTGGTGACTTTTGAGAGAAAGGTAACGACCACCCGAAAAGTCAGCATCCCAGGCATTCTGGTCCCTGATATAATAGCTTTTGACCCTAGAGCTCAGATTGTGGCAGTAGCTTCCAATACTTGTAACATTGTTTTGGTTTATTCGGTAACCTCTTCCTGCATGCCCAATATTCAACAAATCCAATTGGAGAAAAGTGAAAGACCGAAGGGTTTGTGCTTCTTGACAGATAAACTCTTGTTGATTTTGATTGGAAAGCAGAAATTCACTGACCCTGCTCTCATTCCATCTTCAAGTTCAGAAAGGTACATTATTCGTTTAATGATCAAAGAATTAATATTTGAAGAAGATTTTTCAGTGCCGTCGGATGCCACCCAGAATCTACTTTCTAATTTTGAATCCTCCATAAATACTCTTGGAAAACGGAAGTTCTTTGAAAATCTTGCCATGGAAGATCAACCCTTGAGCAGGGAGCTGTTAATACCAGGTAGTACTATAATTCAATCCTCTAGTGGCAGGAGAAGGCTTATAGAAGAAGTGAAGAGTCCCAGTTATGAACGAAGCTCATCATCAAGTGTGAGTGACCTTGATGAAAAAAGGGTCTCCGGTGACCCATCCATTGCTTTGGAAACGTTGGATGCTGAGCCAATTAATCGGTCAGTGGCCCTCTTTGGACTTGGTACACCAACCAGGTTTTCCAACAGACCAGCTTCTCCTAAAGTGCAGCTGGATGTGTTTCAAGAAATTTCTGTTTCTCCTAAAAATAACAACTTGCCAAGTGAAAAAGGAGCAAGTCACATATCCAGGAATCTAGAAAGACTCTGTGGCAGCTTCACTGAGTTACAGCTGCACCTTTCTGAACTAACAGACTCCACTAAAAATGGAAAGAGGTTATCTCTAGCATATCCATCTTTTCAGGAGCCACCTTTTGTCCATATCACTTATCAGGTAATTTTTTTTATTAATTTAACATTCTTATCAGGTAGCTTTTTTAAAATTCTCTTTTTAAACATTTTATTTTAAAGCAAGGGGATGTATTTTAATTTTCACAGTCCAATTAGCAGATTTCATCAGAGCTTGACACTCAACTTGATTCAGAGTTGTGAAATAACTTGCCATTGAAACAATCACTTGCATTTCTGCAACCAGTTGGCTGAATTTTATAGGAGATTCTGCATAAGAAATCAGGGTCTTTTCTTCCTTCATTGCTCAGATGTAACTACCACTGAGGCTAATTGGAGTTGCATACAAATATCAAAAAGGAGCACAGAACATTAACTATCACTGTACAAAAGGGTTTTGAATTAGTTCAGTGTAGAGATGGGCCCACAAACACTCCCACTGGATGTGACAGCTACTCCCACCAACAAGCCTATGAAGTTCAGATCTGGGTTCAGATCCAAAGTTTGCAGCTAGCCAATATCTCTGATGGGCTGAAACAAAACTTTAGATCTAGACTTTTGCAAAGTTCAGATGGGAAAGAGCTGAACTTTGCAACTTGGCCCATCTCTAGTTTAGTTTTTCACTGACAATATTTACACATCAGGACAGTTTAATTTTTTAAAAATATTACCATTTTAACTTGATTTCTTTAAAAAATATGTATGTACTTAACTGCTAATTATTTTAACTAATAAATAATATACCAAATAATCAAGTCCTTATCTAGCCCTTATTCAGACAAAACTTCCATTGATTTCAGTGAGAGTTTTAACTGAGTAAGGACTTCAATATTTGGCCCATTATTAATTAATTATTGTTATTATTGAGACACCCTTCAGATTAGTATAATAGGAAACTAGATACATTTATTTGTATATCTTGTAGCTTTTGAAAATACTTTAGGATCCTTTGGTGTGGAAGGCATTACGGAAATATAAGATATTAATTTTTATTATGTAGTGGTATTAAAATTATATATCTCTGGGTCAAATTTGATTCTCAGATGTGCGCCAGTGGTTTCCTGTTACACTAATGACAGCCACGTGCACATCCAAGGAGAGAATCTTCCTCTACACATCCTGTAAGGAAGTGATTACTTGATTCAAACATCATTCATAACACTTTAGAAATTATTTTCTTGCCATTTTGGGGTATTAATGTGTTGGCACTCTGCGTGAAAGCAAAGTGTTTGATCTCGTTTAGTCAATAATTTCACTTGAATATATTGCATAAACTCCAATATAAAAAGAAAAAATACTAATTTAAATATTTTAGTGTTATATTCACCAAAAAGTAAGCTCCTGTACCTTATAGTGAACTGAAGCTCTTTTGCCTTCTGAACATTTACTATCTCATTGTCTTGCAAGAAGCACCTTCTTTTGGGTTAGAATTAGTGGGGCCAATTCTTTTCCAAATAGAAGTTAGGCTATGGGATCTAGCACCGGCATAAGATTTTAATTACGACGTAAGTGCTTGATTGCACATAACTATTTTTGCACAAGTAGTAAGAAATATGATTGCTTTTCTTTTAAATCAAAGTGAATTTGGTGCTGGTAAAACGATGCCAGCCTGACCCCATTGGAGAATGAATTTCTTTGTTTACGAAAAGAACAGGTTGGTTTCTTAGCTCATCCAAAGACAGCACCACATTAAACTAATTCAGAAAAAGAGCCACTTAATGAATGTTTGCAGTGTTGTAGCCATGTTAGTCCCAGGACATGAGAGAGACAAAGGTTGGTGAGGTAATATCTTTTATCAGAAGTTGGGCCAACAAAATATATTACCCTCACCCACCTTGTCTCTCCAGCTTAATGAATAGGTTTCTTCCACATTTAGGTGTTCTTTGAAGGTCTCTCATCTAAGTACTGACCTAGTCTAACCCTTTTTAGCTTCTGAGATGTAGCAATACAATATGAGGTCAAAGATAATGAAAAAGAGATTGATGGCAAAGAGACATCTAGACAGACAGATATATTTTGCCTCAGAGACCGCCAATAATTTTCTCAGAAAATAAATGTTTTGATTAGTTTGGATTCAGACATCTGAGTCTTGTTCCTGCTTCACGAGCTGATTAGCACTCTCTGAGCTCAGAGACCAGCTGAGCCACGGAGTTACAGCCAGGCTCTGTATTCATCCAGCAAAAGGCTCAGGAAATGGCCTTGCTGCCTTATGTATAAATACCTTTCTGTGGTAAACATTCTAAATATAGGTAACACTGCAGTACTGTAATACTGTAGTACAGCATTTATTTGTAAGCTTGTCATTGCAAGGTCTGTGTCTTTGTATGGGTTTGTACAGCACTCACCACAATGTGGGCCCGATCCTGATTGAGGCAGGCATCTGGGCAGTACTGTATTATAAAATACATACAATAATAACTACAACACAATATAACAATAGGGCTACTTAAAACATAAAAGTAAGGTTTAAATCATTATAAGTAAAAAACAGCAGTAATTAATGACCAATTATGAACTTTATTATGTGACAATGTTAATATACACCAAACTATTAAGAAAACTATGGTCTAAGATAAATCTGAATCTAAATTATTTAACAATTTCCATTTCTCTCCATAGTAAGTTCCAAAAACGGTATTTGTTTTACACTACCTGTAAGGAGGAGTCTATGTTCTTTACAGATTTGCCATGACAATACTAACTGTAACTTCTGAGACACTTACGTCTATTCAGTAGTCCCCGGGCTTATATCCTATGTAAATTACGGACACTGGCGAGAGCCATGATCACCAGGGATCCTAGAAATCCACTTGCCTTGGAAAAATGTGGAATTTGCACTTTTACAGAGAATCTTTAGTTTTTACCTTTTGTGGGGAAAAAAAACCCATATACAGTGAAACCCCAATTATCTAATCTAATTGGGACCAGGGCCAGAACTGATCATCAAAAATTTGGATAATTAGGAGAATGGACGGGGCATGAACTGTCAGCCCCATGCAGCGGGACTTCAGCTGTCAACTTAAAAATTGTAACTATATCAATAATGTGTTCAACTGATACCTACGTATATTGTGGCTAGGGAAACTAAAGTTCAGCGTTTCATTTTAATCGCAGACAAATGCGGATTTTTATGTTTTTTTATTAGAGAATTTTGGGGGTCTTATCACTGAAAAGTGGGATCCCTGATGACCACTCAAACTTTGGAGCTGTCACAATTGTAGCTTGTGTAATAGCCTTCAGCTATAGAGGTGATGCCATCATTCACTTTGAATAGCATATATTTAGGCTTGGAACTATTAGATTTTTATCAGCAAATGCTGGTAAACATCAATTTCACTGTACACTGTACACAGACAAAAAATATTTCCATTGATAATAATCAAAATGTACGGACAGACAAAGTAAGAAAAATGCAGCTTGTGAATTTATTAGAGTTTTATTTAAGGATATTTACTTTGTATATTTTGACACGATATTGACAATTTGATGGTCAGACAACAATTATTTAATTACAGTAGATGTTGAGATTTGAAAAGTTAAAGCTTTATAGCTGTTAAAACACAACTGTCTTGTCTGACCCCTCCCCATAATTTCCTGCAACTATGAAAATGTAAATTGATAAAAATATTTTAAAACCTTTAAAACAAGCAGCAATATTATCTGTCAAAAGTACAAAAAAATTAAAATCTAATTCTTCCAGGCCTTCATATATGATTGCAGCTGCATCATGTAGAGATGAATGGTTTTGTGAGTATTGTGGGAGGGCAGGCAGAGAGACTCAGTAACAGGTTTTTATTAAATAAGTAAAAAAAGAGTAAGTAAAATAATGTGGTATAGATTTGTTTCGGAGAGTGCTTTTTGCAACAAGATATTTTATCACTCAGTTTCTCTGTAGAAAAAAAGAACAAGTAATTAGCCCCATTTAGAAACAAATTACAGTAGGAAATTGGACCATCAGGATTCCAGGTGACTGCCATTTAGGCAAACCTCACTAACTGGGATAAGATTCATCTGCTGTAACTTGAAGAATACTGTTAAGCTCACATTTTGTTCACAAGCAGTATTGTCTCAGAAATTGATATCACTGACAGGGTATATCACAAAATTAAACAGAAAACCAAATGTATTTTGGATTATTAGCTATCATGATTTCCCACTTAACACTCACTGATAGTGTATAGAATTCAATTTATACCTGTATAAGCACCCTTCAGACACTGTACATGTACACTGACCTGATCAATTATAAAATAAAGAGAAAAGCAAGGTTGTACAGTAAGTTATGAGACGAGTATAGGGAACAACAACAAAACCTGGGACACGATTATACACAAAAGTGGGAAGGCAAGGGCAGAGGATAGACAGGAGACCAAGGTTAGAGGAGTAAAGTGAATGAGCTAAGGAATAGGTATACAGTATTAGGCGAGGGAGATTGGTGGTAGTAAATTAATCTCTTTATTGGTAATAAAGTCTCAAGGCTTTTGTACATGGCACCCAAATTTCCATCTCCATCAACTTTAAAGGCATGATCCTGCAAGATGTTCAGGTTGGAAGGGGTACATGAGGTACTGAGTACCATCAACTCCTAATGCAGTCAGTGCATATATCTCACTAGAAGAACTCAGCACCTTGACATATAGGATACCAAGCTGTCTATATTACTGTCTTGACTTTTTGATCCAAGCTATACAATAATAACTCTATTAATAAATACATACAAGAATGAAGACTCTCTTTTGGGTAAGATGGCCCTCTTTTGCAACAAGTTTCTGATTCAGCTATCACTTTCCTTAACTCAGGCCTTAACTTTGCTTCCAAAGCAAGAAATCTCAGCGTCATCTTTAACCTCCAACGTTACTTTACTTTCCACATCTCCCCTGTCTGTATTTCTGCTTATCACCAGTTTCAGAACATTATCAGAATTTGTCCTTACCATGTCCTCTCTGCTTTTGCTTACATCCTTATCCAAGCATTAATCACCTCCTATCTTGACTGCTGCAGTTCCATTTTTTATGGTCTTCCTAAATCTCTGCTCTCTAAACTTCA